CAGCCACTATGGAAAACAATATGGAGGTTCCTCAAAAAACTAAGAATTGATCTACCATATGATCCAGCAATCCCTCTACTGGGTATTTATCCCAAAATCTTGAAAACCCGTATCCGAAAAGATATTTGCACACCGATGTTCATAGCAGCACTATTCACAGTGGCCAGGACATGGAAGCAAGCGAAGTGTCCTATGATAGATGATCGACTAAAGAAGTTAGTCGATGGAATATTACTCAGAATATTAGAAAGGAATATTACTCAGCCATAAGAAGAGATGAAATACTGCCATTTGCGACAACATGGATGGACCTTGAGATAATCATGCTAAGTGAAATAAGCCAGACAGAAAAAGTTGAAAATCACATGATATCACTTATATGTGGGATATAAACTTAAAAGCAACAAATGAACAGGACAAACAAAGACTCAAGGACATGGACAATGGACTAGTGGTTACCAGAGGGTAGGGAATGGGGGAGGAGGAAAGAGGTAGACAGGGTAAAAGGGGTCAAATATAGGGGGTTTGGGGGAGGGTGAAGTGGGTAAAGGGGATCGAATATAGTAGAATACAATAGAATACATAGATGTCAAATTATAATGTACACCCGAAAATTATATAATTGTATTAACCAGTGTTACCCCAATAAACTTTTAAAAAAGAAATATAATTTGTATTTGGGTTAGAGTCTATTTTTTGAAATAAACAATTCTGCATCACACTCAAAGAAAAAAAAGTAATGGGACATTATGTCTTCAACCTGCTCTCAAATGGTTTACCTATATTTAAAGAGAATAATAAGGCAATGTGGTAAACTGTTCATTTTGAAATTTTAAAATCACAATTAACAATTCAAAATTAACAGTTAAAAAAGAGTAGGTACTAAAAAAAATTAGTCCTTCCCTACTGCCACCTGACTACCTAACTATCATACCGGACATTCAGCCTCCATGCCCTTGAGAGAACTTGCATTCTTCCTGCCATAATTGCCACCAGCTGGAACCAAAGGCTGGAAGAAAATATATTTAATGTTTTCATGGTTTCTCTGCCTAACCAAACACATAATCACATATCGCTCGCTCCTCTACTGTTACTTGACGTTTCCGAATAAAAAGGACGGAAATGGAGAGGAAGGTGCCAGCGGTAGGAGAGAGTTGACCAGAACCATGTGAAACAAATCTAAGCAGACAAGCCCTATGTCAAGATTGAGGGGTAGGGGAGTGACCACAGGCTATGAGGGAGGCTTGAGAGGTAATTACGCTATTCACGTTTTATAGTCTTTACAGTCAACAGAGAGCCTTGGAACATCTGGGAAATTGGTGGACTGGGCTGGTAAAAGAAAAAAAATCTGATTAAGATCACCTAGAAATTCCAAAAGTGCCGGGGACATACAAGGAGGATCTGATTGTCGACTTCAGGGTCAGGACTGCAGGCGCAACTTTCTCCCAGAGAGAAATGCTGGCAGGTGGCATTGTTGTTTGTTGAGCCCTCCCCCAACCCAGCCTGCAGGCACAGGCAGAAACCAAGCCTGAGTCTCCATCAACCTGGCTAACACGGGTCGCCCCACCCCTGGTAATTCCCTGAGATCCTGCCCTACCCAACTTTTAGCCCACCTATGCCACTCCCAGTGGCTTTTCTGTACAAATAGCTTGTCTTGGCTCATGGCTTAGACTTTCCTAAAATCTCTCAAAAGTTCACAAATACCAAACAAGCAGCATCTCACCTTGGGTCATGGGGTGCTGTACCTCTTGTCAGGCAGCCTCAAGCCCTGCACTGGTGACAGCCAGCCTCAGTTCGCAGCTTAGCCTCTCCCAGGCAACTCCAAGCCTAGAACAAGTGGCAAACATCTGCAGATCACTTTTTGGTTCATACCGGGCAGCCCTGAGCCACGCACAGGCAGTGGCTGATCTTGATTTGCACCAGAGCCCCTCCCAAGAGACGCCAGAACCAACAGACCTGATGGCCAGTTTCAGACCACACCAGAGTGCCACCCAACCACCTCCACAAAAGACATACCAAAGGGCGAACTTGGTAGGCACCAGAGCCCTGCTGAAGCGAATCCTGAGCCCTTGGGTCAGCCCTTGCACGACAGCTCTTCTGCTGTAGTCACAGCCATTTCTCATAGCCAATCAGCCCGAGGGTCACTTCCTCCCACTGATATGTAAATAACAATCACAGTCCAAGTATGACAGGAGGGCATGTACTACCCACACAAGGGACACACCTGGAGCACTCAGCTCAGGTGACTGGGGAGAATGCACCATCGGGTACCGCAGGACACCCACTACATAAGGCCACTACCAAGACCAGGAGACATAAGCAGATCTACCTAATACATAGAAACAAACACAGGGAGTCAGCTAAAATGAGACAAAGAAACATGTTCCAAAGGAAAGAACAAAACTACAGAAAAAGAACTAAAAGTCACGAGCAGTATACCAGATGCAGAGTTCAAAACACTGGTTATAAGGTTGCTCAATGAAGTTAGGGAAATAGTAGATGAACTCAGAACCTTAACAAAGAGATAGAAAACATAAAAAAGAACCAGTTAGAAATGAAGAATACAATAACTGAAATGAGAATGCATTAGAGAGCATCAACAGTAAATTAGATGAAGCGGAGGATCGAATCAGATTTAAAAGATGAGGTAGGAGAAAATACCGAGTCAGAACAACAAACAGGAAAAAGGAATCCAAAAAAGAATAGTTTAAGGGGCCTCTGAGACAACATACAGTGTACTAACATTTGCATCATGGGGGTACCGGAAAGAGAAGAGATGTAATAATGGAAAATTACATGGTGAAAGAAATACGTGTGTAAGTCTAGGTGAAGGAAATAGGTGTATAAGTCTAGGAAGTGCAGAGTCCCAAACAAGATGAACCCAAAGAGGCCCACAACAAGACACCATAATTAAAATGTCAAAACTTAAAGAGAATCTTAAAAGCACCAAGAGAAAAGCAGTTAGTTACCTACAAGAGAGCTCTCATAAGACTGATTTCTCAACAGAAACTTTGCAGGCCAGAAAAGATTGGCACAAAATATTCACAGTGGTGAAAAACAAGGCCTACAACCAAGATTACTCTAGTCAGCAAGGCTATCGTGTAGAATTGAAGGACATATAAAGAACTTCCCAGACAAGAAAAAGCTAAAGGAATATTACAATAAAGCCAGTATTACAGGAAATGTTAGAGGGACTTCTTTAAGAAAAAGAAGAAAAAAGAAAAAAATCAAAAATATGAATAATAAAATGCCAATAACTACATACATATCAAAAATTACTTTAAATGTAAATGGATTAAGTGCTCCAATCAAAAGATATAGGGTGGCTGAGTGGATAAGAAAACAAGACCCATATATATGCTGCCTACAGGAGACCCACTTCAAATCAAAAGAGATACACAGACAAAGTAAAGGGAAAGAAAAAGATATTTCATACAAATAGAAATGAAAAAAAAATCTGGGGTAGCGATACTTACATAAGACAAAATACACTTTATAACAAGAAACAAAGAAGGAATACCCAGAAATTCTACTCCTGGGTATTTATCCAAAGAAACCCCAAATACTAATTTGAAAAGACATATGCATCCCTATGTTTTTTGCAGCATTATTACAATAGCCAAGATATAAAAGCAAACTAAGTATCTATCAGTTGAAAGAAAAGGTGGTACATACATACAATGGAATATTACTCATCCATAAAAAAGAATAAAATCTTACTATTTGCAACAACATGGATGGAC